ACTCGTTGCACCAGCTATGTCTTTCATATTTTTTTGTTTAGTTTGTTTCTTGGTCTGTTTTTCAACTAGTGCATTCTGGATAGTTTCCTAGTTAGCAGTGATAAATTTGACACGCTTCTACTATCGTTATTCAAGAACTAGACGRTCCAAATCAACAATTTTTATTCATACAAATTCATGAACGAAAAATGACTGTACCTCCCCAAAAGGGAAACATACATCTCTCCTTCCTAGAATACCCCAAGCTGGCAGCCGCCACCATTGTTCTCCAGTCGTAACATAGTATGGCAAAATGAAATTGAAACGAATCGAGAAGGAGACAAAGATGTAACACGCTGTATCGTATTGCTCTGCAGGAATACCCATAGCCATGAGAACCATGAAGGAAACCGTTGGAAAACCATTCACCGACAACGGCGTCAGATATTGTTTTGCCGGTGATCGCTCCGGAGAGAAGAAATTAGAGCAACAATCAATGAACAAAACCCGATACACAGAGTCCTTGTCCTTTCTTCTCTAAATAATCATTTTTTTGTTTTCGCACGTTGCTCTCCATTGACCAAGGGGTRCAGGCAACAGAAGTACGTTTCCATGCGTGCAGCGAATACGATGCCATTGCAACTGCAATTCACTTAATTGGATGTTTGGTTGGTTGCATACCGTAGACCTTTTTCCTTGTTGCCTTGCGAGGACCCTCACATTGATCACTTATTCAGTGGCGGACGACCGAATTACTGCGTATAAACCGAAGGGACTTGGCTGATTGTTGTTTGCTGTGCGATCTCTCGTTTTGCTCTGGACRGAGCCGTATTGCGGCACTTGTTGTCTCGATCGGTCTCTCGCCCAATTATCTGATGGTCTTCGTTTTGATAACAGGAACTGCATCAGGTTTTCGTCACATTAGATTAGCGAAAAAAAAGCAACGGGACAGCAACCCATGCACAATACAATCGTCGATAATCATCGGCACAGATTCAAAGTATACAAAAGCACACCAGTATAATTGAATATGGAATGGTGGAACGGTTTTTTACAAGCAATCTACTTGTCCTACCTTCCATCAGATCAGATCTTCAACGCGTTTTGGCGCGAGGCGTAAAAAACAATCCAGCATGCAACCGACAGATCCGACCTGACCCGTTCGCTCRCAATCCACTTCGCTACATTTTGCACCCTTGCCTTTACCGCTGTCTTSCAGATCCCTGGCAAGACTTTTGCTTGTTTCCCTTCTTTGGCCAGATGTTTGACAGCTAGCGATTGTAGGCKTCGTTCCAAACAAAGTGGAATGGAGTAAATCTGTCCGACCGCGACATTCTGCTTGTCACGAGAGTTTTCCGCAGGGCAGCGAGCTACTATCGATTAACGCACGGTGTGTTGCGTATGCATATGCACTTGACGAAAAGATTTTCTGTCCATGAAGACTGCTGCCAGATCTGTTGCAAGCGTATACCCTCCTAGCTGTCGGAAGAAAGACAACTCGAGCCCCGTGGCGTGGCATGGTGGTTGTCATTGGGTCGGCAATCCGAGTGTTGCGCGTGGACGAAATTGGGGGGGGGGGGGCAATTTTGACATCGTCGTCCAAWGGCCATCCAATAGGCGAATATTCAATCATTCCGTAATCGCATCTTCATCCAGTTACCGCATCCGCCAATGCTGTACGCTTTCTTGTCKATGTCGATGTCGAGGACAACGACAATTCTTTTGAAAGAATTAAGCCACGATTAACGCAGGATGATGTATTCCGTGTATTCCTACCGGTACGTACGTATGGTAGCACAAGGACAAAGGATGTTGGCTCCTGAGCCGGCTCCTCAATCGTTGCAAACAGAAGGAATTGCCGAGTCCAAMCTGGAACCGCGGGGGAAGTAAGCGACTGCGAGAAGTTACTGCAATGACAGTACAGTAATAGAGCGCCGACAGTTCAAATTCGATGGCCTCAAACTTAGAGTAAACATCAACGAACGAATRAGAGGATAGGTTGCTCTTCCTGTATAGCCCTACGTAAACCGCGGAAAAAAATCCGAATTCAAAAAATATTTTTCCGGAACCAGTACTTGGGTACCGTTAAGCACAGGTACGGACCATACGTGCAATAGCTGATTGTTGTATTTCAGACGTTAAATGCTGTAGGTGTTATCGAACTTTGTGACAACGAATCGCCAACCTGCYTTGTAAGGTKATCGCTGCASCCYAGTATGGCCCGAAAAGTTCATTYGCGGAGTCGGCTACCAATGATRCCGTAGTGCGACGAAAATAGTCGTTGACATGCCAACCAGTGCCGAGCACGCCGAAAGTCCGGTCTCTTTCAAAATATTGAGGGCGCTTTAATTTTMTTAAGTAACACTAMATTGGTAACTGTAAACGTTATTTTTATCGGTATATTTATCCTACGGTTTATCGTATTGTGAAAGGAAACAATGAGTCCCACAAATGCGATTGATAACGTTTACCACKATCGCGGTGGTCGCCAAATGTTTTGCCGCCTCGCTAAGAGCGCCCCCAGCTTCACACGTCACGAAGGGAACTAACGGTTGTATSGACTTTTCGAACAATTCCTTTCGAAAACCGATGACAATCCAAGGAATTTGCTAGGAAACGCTTGTTTACACGACAAACCCTATCTCATCCTCGGAATCCATMYMTCTTCTCACAATTTCATCGAAGACACACCTTCGAATCAACCAAACAAACAAGCCAACGCTAATCCTGTTGTGGTTTCCAAAAGAAGTTTAACTTCAGAACTAATCGCTACCATGGCCGTCCATAACGAATCGCACGGAATCAGCACTCCGCTGGACAAAATCCGTATTGTCTTYTCCCTCGTCCTCCTGGTCTTCTCCATCGTCGTTGTGTTGGCGTTGATCGGAACCGGAAACACYCAGTTGGCCCGCGATGTCCACCCTATCGCTGCYGGAGTCATCATGTGGTCTCTTATCATTTGGATGTCCATGGTTGAAGGAGGACAGTGCTCCATGGTTGGACTTCCCCCCATCGACCGTGAACTCTACCGTGAATCCCACCCTATCACCTACAAGATCACCGGATGGGGACACAAGGGAGACAACCTCGACCGATACCTCATGGGACGTCAGTTCATGGTTATCTTCATCAACTTCACCATTGGACTCTGTGGAGCTCCTCTCTCTGGTGCCAAGGTCCTCGGACTTCCTGACTGGGTCTCTGCCATCTTCCTTGGATCTGGTATTGCTATGGTCTTGCAGAACGTCATTGTCGGACAGTTGACTTCCCAGTGTAACGCCTCCCACATGATGCTTGACTACATCAACACTCATTTCATGACCTTCACCTACTGGGTTGCCGCCGGTATCGAAGTTACCGGTGTCATGCACACYTCKTACTTGATCCGTATGATGGCCTAYTGGGCCGCTGGCAAGCCTGTTGAATCGAACGAACCSCCCAAGACCGGATTCACTCTTATTTTCTTCTGGGGACGTGTTCTTTTCTCCCTTGSYGTTCTTGGATTCGCTCTTGCWGTCACCATYGAAGCCCTCTACCGTGGAAAGACCTCCGCATGGAACGGAATCCCCGARACTGTCTCCCTTCTCCTTTTCTTCATCCTCATGTGCTGTGTCGGTCTTCTYGAGGGTATGCAAATTGCCTTYTTCACTGTTGCCAAGCTCCCCAAGTCTGAACGTGGATCTTCCCCAATGGCCCTTCGTACCTGCGAATGCCTCTTCCAGAATGGTGGACGAAACCTTCCCGGATTCATGTGCGGTCGTCAAATGACTGTCACCCTTTGCTTCTTCGTCATTGCCCGTGTCACCACTGTCAACATTGTTATCGGTGAAGATGAAAACATCTTCGGAGTCTCTGACCCAATTCAAAAGATGCTCAACTTGGGTTTCATGGGAGCCATCACCACCACTATCCTTGGATCTATCGCCTGGCAATTGGTTGCTTCCAGCTTCCCCATTGCKTTCTTGAGCAACCCTATTGTKTTTGTGTTCCTTCAGGCTGCTCTCTTCCTTGAGGCCACTGGTATCTGCTACGCCGCYTGGTTCCTTGCCTGGTGCCAACGCAAGGTCATGGGATTCCAATACGATGAAGTTTACGTCGGAACCCCTGAAGAACGTGCCGCTAAGGGACACGCTGACGACAACCACGCYGACGACAACTTGGATCTTGCCACATTCCTTCCTGCCAGTGGAATCGGAACTGATGACTTGGCTGCACGATTCAAGCCTCTTTCCGTCATGCAAGAGACCTACTCGGGCCGTCGCGAACACATCCTGTCCAACATCAAGGAACTCCGAACACACATTGCTGAAGCTGTCACCGAAGACGAGAAGGAGGCCTTCGAAACCGCCCTCAAGCTCGAAATTGACAGCTTGTCTCGCCTCAACACCAGTGAAATGGAAAGCAAGCGATTCGACGAAGCCGACAAGATGGACGCAATCTCCGAAGAACCTTAAATATGCAAAAGAGTTTCAATTCCAACCCCGACAAGATGGACGCCATCTCCGAAGAACCTTAAATATGAAAAGAGTCTTTCCTTTTGAGAGCGAACCTTTGTCTAAACTATATGTTCACATTTGAATGATCAACCTGAAGGTCATCAACTATTGTACACCAGTAAAAATAAAACAAAATGAAGAACGTACTTTTTTAAATAATGACTTTTGTGTGTCTTCGCAAAAGAAAGAGTGTGTGTATCAATAGTCGACACTTAGTACAAGCGAAAAATGCAAGTTTCATTTGAAGTTGGCCGCGTGCTATAAAAGCTCGAGGTCGAGGGACACCTTGATCTAATCTGGGAATTGTGGTTTTAACTAGTCTTACCTCACCCTAAATCCTAGCGTTACGTAACAGCTTGTGTTATCACAAGTATTTAACATAGTCGTAATTATTGTGGTCSTCGCGCTTGTGGTGGATTTTGATTGACTGATCTCGTGTAGTTTCATTTCATTCCGAATTCGATATATACTTCGTATTTTCCATTCGCCGAAGCATGGATACATCGTATTTTGGTGAACTCAATTGGCAATTAAGTCATTGATCAACAAAACTTGCCTCACGTCCTCATCGTCTCTGTGAATATTCGTTCATTCGTTCCTTCGTTCTGTCCTTCCTTCATGGGTTCGGAAGGATCGTGGCAACAGCAATGGACTAGTACCCTCTGTAGGTAGTCTACAATGCAGTTTCTCCTCATAGTCCTTTGCGTTCAATTTGTTTGCCCAACCCCGTCGCTCWAATGCTAAGCTATAACTTCCCTCGTTTACCCTACCAATACCGAAATGCAATACACCACTGAGGAGCGAACGTCTCGATCGATCCACACGCAAGACACACCGTTTCACCCTATCGGAAGAGCCCCTGCTCGGGGGGCTTGTAGTGGATCTTTTCGACGAAACCGCGTTGCTCCACCGCGGGGGTCGCGTGCCCCAAGCCGGGACCCGGCTTGCTGCGCTCATATCCGTAGACGGCCGGAGAGAGGAAACAATCCGTCATCTTCGAGGCCGAGGCGAGCTCGGCGCCCACGGCCTTGGTCAGGTCTCGCTCGAGACTCGGCAGCAGGAGCTTGCTTACGGTCTTGGAGAACATGGTTACTTTGTGAATCTGTTGTTTGCGTTAGAGTTGGGTTGGGATGGAATTGGACCGTGATGTTTGGTTCGAATCCTTTTCAATCGATGGGGGAATGCAACGTTGAGATCAGTACAAGCGAGAGTTGAAATGGCATTAATTAGCCAACCGATTGTTATTTTACGTTTATTTTGTACCATCCCCACGTACCTACCCTACCGTTTTCGGTTCTCGTCGCGCAAGGACTACGAGTTACTGCACTAGCTAGCGTAGCTTTGAGACGGAAGGAAGAGCGTCCCAGCGATCAAAATCAATCCATATCAATATTTTTTGWTTGACGAATATGTTCGTGTGCCTTCTAAAAATACCGCATTACACCATCTGGTTTGTTCGAAAACGTCATCATCGTTTGTCCAATCACGAATAGTAAGGCAAGACAAATCTTTTGGAATCCATCAAAATTCTCATTACAAAATACCAGAGTTCTTTCTTACCTTTTCTGATGTACATACTTGCGTCTGCATCAGTACAGCATCAACCAAAATTTGAACGTTTGCCCAGTTGAAGAAGAAGTAGTAGTACAATAGAGGTGCTGAGCTGATGAGCTGCTAAGAAAATTTTGGAAATGAGAACAATCAGGAACAAGAAGAGTCGTGAAGAAAGAAACAACAACAAGAAGGATGATGGTGACGACTGCTGCCCGTACTTGGATATCAGATTGTGGGTATGATTCATATCAATGACACATACATATTAAACATATCTATGATTAATACACACTCTACACTCTACATTCACAACTCATTTGATCCGATATATCCGCATGATTGACTTGTTGACTCATTCGATTCACACATGTCACTCGTCAATAATCTTCATGATTCCTCCAATCGATCTTRGATTTCATAATTTGTCAATCCTCAATGAGAGCATTGACTCGCTTTTCTTCTACAAAAACTCAATTTACATCATTAGATAGTCACTCCCCCAGGTTATGAGCCGCAATGAAGAGGAGGCATCAGCAGTACTACTAAGAAGAGTGCTGAGTTTACCCCCCTGCAACTTCTTACTATGAGTACTACTAGTACTAGAAGTACTAGTAGTAGTAGGCAAGGATTACTGATGGTGCTTTTTCAATCCAATTTTTGCGATGACAAAGTTTGCTACTAGAGTAAAATTAGTATTTCTAGCACTAGTAGTACTTCTCCTGCTACTACTACTACTAGTACGAGTCGGATATTGGAAATGAAGACATACTTGGATGTATCAAAACTTCCCTGAGCCGTTGTAGTGACTGAGCTGAATCGGTCCTGAAAGGGAACTGTCCCTGGTGGGAGGCAACKCTCGTGGATAAGACACATTGTACTCCCATTATCCAATAGCACTTTGAATGTATTCATTGTCGGTAAGCCTTGGATAGCTTTGCATACTAGAATGATCACTGGTAGGACATCTTGCATGTCTGGTGGTGTTTTCAGAGCTCTCAAGGTGGTTGCTGTT